CTAGATTAAGTGGATCATGGGCCTGTTCATGGATCAGAAGATTTAACCTTGTCAAGATTGCAGCAGTCCCCTAAATGTAAGCGCTGAAGCTACACACCTCTCAGGAGAAAATAGAAGGGCAAATCTTCATGACTTTGGATTTGGCAAAAGGGCTTAGATATGATACCGAAAGTCCAAGCAACCAAAAAAAAAAAAATTTGGGACATCATCAAAATTAAACTTTGATTCTTCACAGGACACCAGTAAGAAAGTGAAAGGACAACCCACAGAAGGGGAGGAAATATTTTCCAATCTTTATCTGATGAAGGACTTTCATCCAGAATATATAAAGAGCCCTTACAACTCAGTAATGAAGACAAATCACCCAGGTGAAAAACGGACAAAGGATTGAAATGGACATTTCTCCGGAGAAGATATACAGATCACTAATAAACACATGAAAAAAAGTTCAGTATCATTAGTCACTAGGGAAATGGAAATCAAAACCACAAGATACCACTTCACACCCACTGGGATGTGCAGTAAGACCAAAAAATGGATAATAACAAGTTTTACGAAAGACGTAGTAAAATCAGAAGCCTCATATACTGCTGATGTGAATGTAAAATGGTGCAGCCACAGTGGAAAACAGTCTGGCAGTTCCTCAAAAAGTTAAACATAGAGTCACCATTTGACTTAGCACTTCCACTCCTAGGTATATACTCAAGATAAATGAAAACATGCCCACACAAAAACTTACACACAAATATTTATAGCAGCATTATTCATAAGAGCCAGAAGATGGAAGCAACACAAACACTTACCAACTGATAACATGAATAAACAAAATGTGAAAAATCCATACAATGGAATATTATTCCTCAATAAAAAGGAATGAAGTAGTGATACATGCCTGCAACTTGGAGGAACCTGGAAAACATTACCCTACGTGAAAGAAGCCAGCCACAAAAATTCACATATTACAGGATTCTGTTCACATAAGTTGAGAATAGAGAAATCTACAAAGACAGAAAGTAGATTTGTGGTGGTTAGTGCGTGACAAGGGATGGGGTGGGATGAGGAGGGAGAATGGTAGCTAAAGGGGACAGGAGTTCTTTCTGAAGTGATGAATATACTCAAAAGTGGGCCATCCTGATGGTCTCACATATTTGAATATACTGAAAACCACTGAATTGTACAGTATGCGAATTATATCTGTTAAGCTATTTAAAAAAGAAAAAGAACAAGGGAAGTCTTTGTATACTATTCTGGAATAATCTCCAAAATATTTTGTTAAATAAGAAAACAAGATGCAGAAGAAAAAAAAAGAATGATTCCATTTCCTATACATAGGTTGTATATCCTATAGTTACCTGAACCTATGTGTTAAAATTCATAGAACTGTACAATGAAAGAGAAAAGGGTAATTTTATTGCATGATAATGTAAAAATATAAAATCTTTAAAAATATACAGTAGAAATTGAGATGGGGGAGAATTGTCACCAAAATTGGTAGCCCTGGTAGTGGACATTAGGGAAGTCTTCAAGAGGAAAGTCACAGTTGAGAGTGCCCTGAAGGATGGTTTTGCTCTGGACGGATAGATACTTAAGCAGAGGTTTGATGAAGAAAGGAAAATCACTTCTGACAAATCTTAATAGTGTCCAAGAGTGCAGGGTAGGGAATTTCTGACCATCTTGGGGGCGTTCATTGTTTTAGTTTGCTGGAAGGAAGGATGCGTACAGGAAAGAGAACAGATCAGACTGTGGGTTTCCTTGCACATCGAGGTGAGAATTGAACACTTTATTGTCATTGATGGGCCGTCAAAGATATTTGACTAGAACTCTGCCTTAGGGATGTTGTTCTATAGGAACTGCTAGTAAGCAAGTTGTGGGCCAGTTAGAATGCTGTTGTATGAATTCAGTCAGGTGAGACTGGAGGACAACACAGGAGGTGGAGATCTGACAGAGAAGGCACCAATCTTGTGAGGAGCATGGTGGCTGACTGGGGAGGGAGGAAAAATGTCCAAAAGCTGATTATCTGGTTTCGAGCCTGGGTGACTGGGAAGATAGAACTACCACTAAGAAGAGGAAGGAAGAGCAGAGAAGGTGATGAGCTTAGCTCAGGCTCTGTTAGTTTGAGGAGCTAGGAGACCTCTACATACGAGACTTCATGGCAGTTGAAGAGGGAACCACGTGGTAGTCGGCACCACATCTGCAGATTCAACCAACCTCAGATGGGAAATACTTGGGGGAAAAAGTTCAGAAAGTTCCAAAAAGCAAAACTTGAATTTGCCCCACATAGGCAACTATTTAAACAGCATTTACATTGTATTAGGTATTGTAAGTAATCTAGAGATGATTTAAAATATACAAGAGGATATGCTTAGGTCATTTGTCATTTTCTTTTTTTTTTTTTTTTAGGGAAAGAGGTTTATTTATTCACTTATTTTTTAAGTGGAGGCACTGGGGATTGAACTCAGGACCTTGTGCATGCTAGGCAGGCACTCTACCACTGAACTGTCTCCCAATACTATGTTATTTTAGATAAGGAACTTGAGCATCCTCGAGGAGGGTCCTGGAACCAGTCCCCAGGGAGACCGAGGGACAACTGTATAGCACAAAGAGAACTTGGCCTATTTCCTCATCTATAAAATAAAGACATTTGGATTCAGAAGGCAGTTTGTTAAAGTGGTCAAGAATAAATATTTTAGAGCCTGACTTGCCTGGGTTCAGCTACTCATTGGCCTTTTAATCATGGACCTATTCTCTCTGGGCCTCAGAAGTCTGTAAAATAGGGATAATTATATACCTATGTAATATGGCTGCCGAGGAGTATGTGTACACACACGTCTTATTTAGAACAATTCTGGAACATAGAAAACTTACTGTTACACAGATGAAGTCCTTTTCAGATCTGATGACCCGTTGTCATGTGGTCAATTTCTGTGAGACTGGCATGCCAAGGCAGAGTCGGGGGCCAGGGATATAGATTAATCATTTCTTTTCTAAAGTTTCACTGAACAGATGGTGTGAGATACCAAAGGGGAAAGAACGCATGAAAGGCAAAGACAGAATGTTGAAGAGAACTGTATCATGGAGCATGGGGAGGAGTGCGTAGCGGGGGCCGGGGAAGGAGCATCCACAGAAAGGGAGAGGCAACCGTGGGATGGAAAAGACACCTCCAAGGAAGACAGTCTTCCAGAGCAGAAAACCACTTTGAAGGTGTGAAGGTGTATGAGATGTATCTGAGGGACAGGGAGACAAAAGCAAAGGAAAGTAATGGATGGGACACAGTTCAGTAAGGATTCAAGAGGAAGGAAGATGGTTTCTTTGAATTGAGATAAAATGTGGGAAAGATATATGGTGATGCAAAAAAAAATTTTTGATTTGGGAAAGTTGAAAGTCAAGGAAGCTCATGTTGGATAAACTTCTATTTTTTTTTCCATAAAATAAGAAGCAGGGTCATCCATAGAGAGGAAGATAGGGAATAAAATTGAAGAGCGTTTCTAAGCAGCTTTAAATATTTCCTCTGATTCTGCCCTTTCTGTGAATGGAAAACAAATGATCCACATCAGTTATAACCAGTAATATTCACTGAGCCTTTAATATCTGCTAGGTATCATGCTAAGAGTTATTTCCAACTAAACACATCCCTAACAGACAAAGGTATTACCAGTTTTATCCACATATGGAGGGTCACACACGAAACAGAGAAAGGATTGGAAATGCTCGAGGTTACCCAGCTAATGAGAGGTGGAACCAAGACTGAACATGAGCTGTAGCTCTGAGCTCTTCACAAGAATGCTTTCTGAGGTTTTACTCTGAAATTTCATTAAAGCAGAGAAGTACTGGTTCAAGAATTTACATGGATTAATGACATGGAATACAAAGTATAGAAAAATAGCCCATGTATACAATGGAATGTAATTTTAATAAAGTTAAGATTTTACATAAAGGATGCCTTGTTTAATAAATGTATTGGGGCAATTAACTATCCACTTTTAATTTTTTAAATTAATTTTGATCTCCTGTTTAAAACATATAATAGAAATCAGAACAGTGGTTGTCTACAGGAGGGTAGAGATGGGCTTAGGGGCACAGGGAATTTTTTGGGGTAACAGGAATGTTCCATAATTTGATTAGAATGTTGGTCACATGGATCTTTCTTGGGGTCAAAACTTACTGAAATGTACATTTAAATCTGTACATTCCGTTCTGTGTAAATTTTATCTCAGTTTTTAAAAGGGAACTCTATCTGTAGATCTCCAAGACATTGTAAAATTTTTAAAAAGCAAGCTATAGGGTAAGATAATACGATACCATTTATGTAATGGAAAGAGAACAGAATTATTTCTGTGGCTCCACACTCGTGTTTGTAAATGTCTCACAGTTCTTGGGTCCAGCTGCCCTAGTCCACCACAAGGTCCTTCCTCTAGTGTCTTATGTGCTCTTAGAATTTCTTTCTGGGATGCAAGGAAAAGAAAGACTTTAATAACATCATTAGCTTAAGAGTATATTTCCTCACTGTTCATAATACTCATTGGTGTAATATTCTCCAATGAAGTTTTTTTAAGTAAAAGCAAGTTTATTTGGAGAGATACACATTCCATTGGCAGAATGCAGTTAGTCTCAGAAGGCAAGAGTGGCTGAAAGATACTTTCTTCCAGGAAATTCTAAGTAAAAAACATCGCCTGCGTGTATAGTGATTTCAAAACTAGTATATCTTCAGAGGCACCTTGGATAATGTCACTGTCCTGAACCAGAAGTAATCAGGTGACCTGAGTTCTCATTCCGACTCTGCCACTTGATTAGATGGATATTTTGGAGCAATTCATTTACTCTCTGGGCTTTGATTTCCTTGTTGGTTAAAAAAAATGGATTGAACTGATGGCTGAAGGTCCATCCAGGCCTAAGATTCAGAAAACCCTATTCATTCATCGGACCATGTATAAATTAGGTTCCATGACCCACAAGAGACATGTGGAAAGTAAGATTTTCTCTGCTTTTGTATTTTGAAACAGGTGACAACCAAAGCCAAGCAGCTGAAGGATTCAGTTACCTGCTCCCCAGGTGAGTGAACACCCACGTCATTCTCGTTAATCTCAAAGTAAATCCCTTTTTTATAACAACTTCTTTTAATACGATAGTCGAATTGTTTTGCCCAGTGGACTCTACTGGTCATCTCCCTAAAAGGCGCTGAATTGCAGGCACCAGCAGGCTAACCCAGCCCTGCACATGTAGTGCTGCTAAGATGTATTTAGTAAGTTTGCAGAACTGTAAAACCTGTTCTCGAGTGTTGGTGGCGGGTCACCACCGCACACCCAGTGTCCCCATCAGGAGACACCCAGCACCTTCCCCAAGATTCTGTGTTTCTCGAAATCCATCTCCTCCAAGACTAACTAGAATTTTGTTAGCGTCCCCGTACTGTTTGCTTGGAACCAGGAAGTAAGAAAATGCCTCCTAACCTTCCCGCTCCCCCCTGTACCAGCCAGGGACGAGCAAACTGTGCGATCTGAAACGTCTGCCCGGAAGGGCTCTGGGGAAGGGGGCAGTTCCAGATTGCTTTCGTACCAATACGGCTGCTGGTCTGGGTGTGGACGCAGAAACGGGCAATGAATGTTGCGAGAAAGAAGCTCCCCCAAGACAGTCTCCAGAAGTGTGTTCTTGAAATGGCAGTGTGGGGTGGGCGCAGACAGATCTTACTAGAGCATCGAGGTGTCCCCAGCGTGTGAGGAGACCGGGTAAGGGGGTCTCTGAGATGACACTTGTCGCTGGGAGGGGGCGTTTGTTTGCCCTTTTCTGTCGAGCGCGGCACCGGTGGGGGGTGGGAGGAGGGAGGGGGCTTGACGCAGAGAGCAGGTGTCCCCAGCGCAGGAGGCCAGCACGGTCACTCTGTGCTCATGGAATTAATAACAACTCTGGGTTCTGAACTGCATCCTTCCTCACCTAGAAAGTAGCCCAGGTGTCCCTTCCCAAAGAGAACTTTGCATCCTCTGATGACAGTCTGACTGTAAACACTCACTAATCCTCAGAGTGGAGGGAAGGACAGACATGGAATCAGACAGAACCGGGTTCAAAGTGCACCTCTGCTGTTTTCTGAGGCTGACTTTCCTCCTCCGTAAAGTTAAGATAGTTGATACCTATCTCTCTAGAATAGCGTGAAAAATAAGGAAAACAATACATGCAAAATGCCTAGCCCACCGGCTGCTGCGTTGGGGCAGCCTCTGTCACTCTTGCCACCTGAACTGACCTGCGGTGTGTCCTTCCTCGCAGGAATGGTCAGACTCTCTGAACTGAGGGCAACAGCCCAGAATTCCAAGCCCAGCAGGCCCGCCGCCTCCTTGCCGGATGACATCATCACCCGGAGAGAAGAGGGCGAGCAGGCGGAGGAGGAGGAGGG